AATTTACATGTGCGTATTCGGACGCCTACTCCCTGGACAACTACCCCCGGACAACTACCCCAGACAATTACGCCGGACAACTACCCGGACAACTACCCCTTAGCGTAATTGTACGGGTGGTAGTTATCCTAGAGGATGGTTGTCGTAGGGGGTAGTTGTCTGGGAGGTAGTTGTCCTAGGGGACAGTTTTCGTAAGTGGTAGTTGTGTGGGGGTAATTGACGGGGGTAGTTCTCCCGGGGGTAGTCTTCCTAGAGGGTGGTTACCCTAGGGGGTAGTTTTCCTAGGAGGTAGTTGACTGGGGGTGGTTATCCGGGGGTGCACGTCCAGGGGGTAGGTGTCCTAGAACCTAACATTTGGTATGAATCAGTTAGTTGTAAATTGTATAAACCAGAGCAAACAATTAACCATTGCAAACTAAGCATTCAAATTATTTTTTGTTTTGCAGGTCATCGTCGGGAAACCATGGCGCATAGATTGAACGAAAGAGTCATCGCAAAAAGAAAGCTGTATAATTTCCACCAAGATCAAGTTCGTCAGTGCAGAGTCGCTGCCCCTGCAAGATTCAACGCTCTCAAAGCCAAGGTCGATTCGGCAATCGATGAGGAGAGGAAGCAGGAGAAGGACAGGGAGAATAGGGAGGCTGATAAAATCAACCGCGAGTTTGACTTGAGGAATGAGAAGATTTTCGAGGAGAATCGAAAGATCGAAAGATCAGTGAGGAGATTCGGAAAAAGAATGAGGAGATTTTGAAGAAGGATGAAGAGATTTTGAAGAATGATGAAGAGATTCGGAAGAATAATGAGGAGAGAGAGAGGAGACTTCAGAGCAACAAACAGGATTCGGAACGCAGATTTGCGCCAGTAGAACACAAAAGATGCGGCCTCCTGGAGGACATTGAAAACATTCAAGACGTGATTGAACCCCAGATTGCTAAGTTGGAAAAGTCTTTGCAGGACGCCAAACGAAAACTTGATGATCTGATGATGAACCGTGGAGACGAGGTGGAAGGTCCGTTTGGCTTGGACAGATCTGTGACGGATGCACTGGACATGCCTTTAGACATTGCTGCGGCCAAGCGGATCAATCGCACACTATCATGTTTGAGGTTTGTTGAGGGTGTTGGGAGGGAGAGGTACAATGGGAGGATCAACGGATACGATGGGGTGTGGAGGCTCGTGGATGAAATCAACGTCATGGCAAGAATCAAATTCCCAACAATTGTGGGGTGTATTGATCCATCAAGCGTGCTTATCACCGATTGGGACGAAGGTAACATGCATACATATCTTTTGGATATTAACACTAAAAGCACTGAAAAAGTAATCAGCAGTACTGATAAATCTTGTGTTGTCTCCTGTGCATCGCTCTATGATGGGAAAATAGTGTGCGGGAAAAGGAGGGCGGGATGTCGGGCTGTCGCTTCGGGACAGCGTTTAACTGGATGCATTACCGTGTATGACAGAGAGTGGAAGATGGTCATTGACGTTACAATACCAACAAACAACACGCAAGATGACACTTGGGTGTATGCTGCTGCTGACCCGGAAGGAGTGATCATCGCTGCCGAGTGGGGTCAGAGTAACATATACATAATCAACCCAAATGATGGTAACACTCTGCGCACTATCACGTCTAGAGAAAATGCCGCTGTGCGTGGTGTAGTTTCATCAGGTCTCATTTTGGCTCAGCCCTCATCAGACAACTGCAGAGTTTTGAAGATCAACAGAGGAAGGGGTCACAGCGAAATCCCCTTCAGAAATATCATTAGGAATGCTTGCATCGATCCACTGTCAGACGCCCTCTACGTCGTGACAACGGGTAACGAGTACAAGACGTGTGTGATTGAACACGTGATATCTAAGTGTGAGTCAAAGAAGAAGAAAGAAAAGGTTGCATCTATATGCCTATCAAGAAGACTGAGTGGGATAAATGAAAGACGGACTCACCTTGCATCATCCCAGGTGATCATGACGTCATCAGGGAAGCTGATAGCTTGCGATGGAAATAGCATCCATTGTATCACAAAAGATTTATATTCTATAAGATAGTCTTTTCCTTATTCTGTATTATCCAACGTACTAGTAGCTACGATGTCATCTTGTATAATACTGTAATCGGGGAAACTATTAGCTGGTGATGGAAATAGCATATTCATAATTATTCTGTTTTTTATCTTGAGTACACTTTACATCATCCGAAAGGCTGGTATCTTGTGATGGACATTGCACCATTGAAGAGATATCTAGTTATTGAGACCGGTTTCCAGTCGTACATGCATGCTGTTAACCTATTGACTACTGAATTCTCTCTTTCACATAGGTATAATACAGGGATCACACGGTTCCAGTAGGCAAGGGGTTAATCTGAACTATTACTGACTCTACACACATTCCCGTAGGACTGCCCGTGAAGATAACCAATAACCAATGTTTACATTCTTCTATTCCCGTTGCCCACGAGGCACCAAGTGCCTGAAATGGAACTGTTTTCGAAAAACTATTTACAATGTGTATTGATATGCAAAGTACAGTTTGATGAACTAACTTACAAATACATGTACAAACTTTCGCCCTGTGTTGCCATTTTTTAAAATCCATGTTTGGAAACAATAACATACTCTGATTTATATTTAAATTTAATAAAAGATTTATTGCAAAATACACAGTGTAAAGATTTTGTTGACCTAATGGCATATGGGCAAATTGCACTGACACGGTCCATCGATTGTCGTGGGTATCTGTTACGCAATCGAAATGACGCCTTATATTTCAGCTGGATTTTTAACCCTTTCGGGACAAGAGTTATAAAGGCTAAATTGAGCATATAATGTTCTTCAAATTAGGCAATGAAATTATATTCGTTTCATTGCTTCATTGTTAAGATCAAATGCTATGTCTCTGAAAACAATAAACCTGGGCAAGATTGCAATTAAAGGATCACAAATTGTCAGTTTTTTAAAATCGAAAATCAATGATTTTGAATCTCTCAACGTGTTGCCAATTAAAGGATTTTAAATCCTATTTTCCCTTTTAATATGAATGCTTGAATGAATGTTAGACGGAATTCACGCCCTTTCTCCTCATGACTCTAGCATATCTTTAAGGCTCTGAATCAAAAGTTATTGGGCCAAATCACAAAATGTGGAATGATTGTCGCGAAAGGGTTAACGTGAAAAACGACAAATTGCAAGTGGTGAATCCAAAAAATTGTCACTAGGTCTGTAGATTGAGGGGTTCAGTGAGCTTGCATGGTAGCTGTGACTTAATCTAAATGTGTTTAGCTTCCTCTTTTTACTTAAAGATGGATAATCCGCCCTTCTTTTTGTTTTGTACTGAACAGTGGCGGATCCAGGAAGGTGGGGGGGGGGGGGGCGGGTCCCCCCTGAGAGGGGAAAAAAAAAACTTTTTTTAGATGCCCCCCCCCCCCGGCGCTCAAGGGGGGGTTGCGATTTTTCAAATCTTCGAGGGCCACACACACAAAAATTAGTGCTCACTACCCCCTCCCCCCCACTGAGCGAAATATTGGCCGGCACGATTTTCAAATTGATTTCAAATTTGGCCCCCCCCCCCCTTGCTAAGAACCCCTGGATCCGCGCCTGCATGAATCTACCAATTTTTCTTAACTCACCAGATGGAAGCTATCCAATATGTAAGTAAATATATTTGTAAATTATGTTCTGTTCATCTTGAACGTCACAATTCGAAGGCTTAAGATTAAACTTAATTATAACTTTATATAGTTGTGTTTTGTTGTCTTGTCTTTTCCTAGCAGCAGTTAAAAAAAGTCATGTACGTGACACCCCCCGTCCTCTCATTCAAATTAACGTTTATCAAGTCATGGATCTAATACGGATGGAAATTCAACGTGATTCTTTCTTTGATCCAATGATAGTCACCGCCTTCTGATTATGTGCATCTTAAGCTATGGTCACAAATCAGAGCAGCGACCGACCGATCAGTAGCCTGCTCGGTCGCTGCTGGAATTAGGCATCGCCCAGCGATTACGTCGGGGCCCGGTCAGCGACCGCCCAGGCACCGAGCGTATTTTGGGCGGCGACTGAAAAGTGAGCAGGCGCCGCCCAAATTTTAACTCCGCGCTAAAACTTCAGCGGCGACCGAGCGATGCCCTAAAAACGAGCGGTGCCTGGGCGGCCGCCGCTCGGTGGCCGGGGGCAGCCGCCGGGCAGAATTGGTTAAAAACTTGCCGCTCGGCCGCCGACCAGGCTACTTCTGGGTTATGTGACCATAGCATTAACGAGAACATTCAGCTGTTTTAACAACGACTGCGTAAGCATTTTATAAAACAAGTAGAAGGCCATGATCGTTATGTTTATGTGCGTTGTAACTCTGGAATATTATGAGGAAATAGGGGAAAACGGGATTTTAAATCACAACCAATCCAAATATAACCTCTGTCTAGTATATACACATGTTTTTCAAAATAAAATACATTACACGGAACAACAATTTTCGATTATATATAAGCCAGAAGTGCACATCGATTTTCTATGATTTAGGCGAGTAATTATCTTCTGCGCATGTAGATTAACATGTGTAAAATTACTATATTGATTCTATCCCGGCTTTCTGGCGGTGACCATCATGAGATCAAAGTGAAGAAACATGTACGGAATGTTATTGAGACGGCATTGACGGAGACAATCACAATGAATTCGTTAAGAAAACGATGAATGTCCATCCGTAATAGGTCCATGACACTATGAACATCACGGACAACGAAAGCGGACAAAATATACAGTTCCTCAGGTAGACCAAGAAACATCCCTTCACTGCTATTATGTAAAAAGGTGAATATGCATGTGACACCTGTTCTACACATTTTTACATAATAGCAGTGAAGGGATGTTCCTTTGTCTACCTGAGGAACTGTATATTTTGTCCGCTTTCATTGTCAGTCATATTCATAGTGTGATCAAGTGAATGTATTCAAATTGATAGATGCTTCCTTGCCACGTGTGTGTGGTAATGATGTATGCCGTTCACCTGCTTTTATCTTTTTCCTGCAATTGTAATGCATAAATAAAATGTTGCACTTCTGGAGTGAAGCTTTTGCATAAATGAAATATATTTGTCTAGTGCTATAATTTAGTATTTTAAATAAATTTATAGCAATTGTTACCCTCATTGTTTTGTAACTAAATACAATTTTTACCTTCTCAGCTATGATTTTTAAAAGTAAAGTTTTTGTACTGCAATAACAAGTCTTTCCCATAAGAGTTTTGGTGCATGATACATGTACAGGTTCGCCTGGTACGTGATGCTAGGAGTCCACTGGGCCAGCGCCAGTTGGTGCCAGTTTGCGCCAATGCAATTTACTGTGGCGCCTAGTGTCGCCAATAAGGTGCCTAGTGGCGTGTAGTGGCTCAAACTGCCTCCCAACTGGCTCGAATTTGAATGTGTCGGCAAGAAACGTCGCGCCACTTGCATCGAGCAATCAGCGCCAAGTGTCCGCCAAGTGGCACCAAATGGCGCGAACATATCGCCCTTTGGCGCAAACAATCCGCCTATTGGAATCCACTGGAATGTAATGGCACGCGCCAAATTGCGCCAAGGAAACACTAGAACTGCAGAGCCAGAATACCAAAGGCATTTTCAACCACACGAATTGCCCTGGACAGCCTGTAGTTGAAGATCTTCTGCTGTTGGATGCTTGTTGGATGTTGGATCTGGGATGCCTAAAGTGCCAGCTTCAATGCACTCCTTCAGTTCACTGTTGTTGTAGATCTGGGCATCAGACTGATGGCCAACCCCACCCACATCGATCAACAGGAAATGGTACTTTGAATCTACCAGAGCCATCAGGACAACCGAGAAGAACTGCTTGTAGTTGAAGTAAAGGCTGCCTGATTTGTTGGGCTTCTTGATACGGATGTGCTTTCCATCATAGGCTCCCAGACAGTGAGGAAGATTCCATCTGGCTTCAAAATCACCTGCAACCTCAAGCCAGCCTTTATTGGTTGTGGGGAGGGAGATGACTTCTGCAGCATACTCATCCACTATTGCTCTGGCTACATCAGGGACAAATTTCTGGATGGTTTCCTTGCCCACTCGGAAGTTGTAAGACAGCTCGGCATAGGTGGCCCCAGTGGCGAGATGGCGCAGGAAGACGGATAACTTGAGACCAGGGGGAATGGCCTTCCTGTAGTGGGTGTCCTTCTGCAAGTGGGGTGTAAGCCTGACCAACAGGTCATCAAACATCTCTGCGGACACCCTGGTGTAGTTCTTGAACTTCCTCCTGTCATTCTCCCTCAGCTCTTCCGTCAAAGTGTGGTACTGTCCATGTTCGGCCCTCAACTGTGGGTGGAGCATGGGTCTAAACCACCAGTTGTGCTTCCTTTTCTTCTTAGGAGGCTCTTCTTCTTCATGATTGGCCAGCATACGTTGATAGGCAGTGGCCACCTCAGCATCTCTCATCATCTTCTGATGGAGCAGCATTATCACTCCAACATTATCAAAAGCCTCAGACATATCAAAATTGTAAATATTTAGTAGAGATGTTGTTCATACAGCAGCTGAGGAGGGTCTGAACCAGGTAGCCGATGGCCGGTATTTATTGTCGGCAAGTAGCGCCAAGCGGCGGCAAGTTCAAACCAATTTGGCGACCTTTGGCACAAACTAATCACCAAGTGGCGCAAAGTAGCCGTCCTATTGGCGCGAATGGCGCCAACAGGGTGAATTTTGGAATCAAATGGCCGTGTAATGGCGCAAACTGGAGCAACATTTTGGAGCAAGCCGAGTGGCATTTGGCGCACGCCATATTGCACCCAGTATATTCCACTTGGCGACACATGCCGAGCGGACATTAATTTGGCGCCACAGCGAGCCACTACGCGCCAATCACATAATCTTTGGCGCGAACTGGCACCAACTGGCGCTGGCCCAGTGGACTCCTAGCATAACATCACTAAGAAAATGGCTTTGCCCAAGTCATGCTAAAAGGCATTACATCATGACTAGAATATCTTCTTGTATGTATCTCTTGTGCATTTTCGTTAATAATAATGTCATTCAATATCTAGGCAGTAATAAATCTTAACTCTCAGCATACCTAGGCCTACACTTATTATTTAGGGTGAGGTTTCCTTTAACCTACCAGCTAGTATAGGACTCGGAGAGTGGAATCTATCAAAGGATAATTGGCTTGTGAAAGGAAACAGTATGCTTGGTTTCATACCGAAGTCTGAAGTTCCAAATCCATTTCCAAATCTATCCATATGTTATTGGGTACCTTAAACCAATATGATTGGTGAAGATGCACAGTAGTGTAGGAGAAAATTAGATCTTGTTTCCATCGGGTGTTCCGGTTACAAGAACTTTCGTGAATAATCGAGTCCTTATTCCTGAAATGATAGCCGGGTGTAATGTTAGTGAAATACACCCTCTTATTGTCGCAGTGTCGGATGCACGTTACCAGATATTTCATTCAAAAACTGCAGCAAATCGACAATTTCTAATACGAGATAACAACAGTTTGTAAAGAGGCTGTCAATGCCTGATTGTATGGATGGGCATGTTCTCACAAATCTACATGTAACCCCTCATCTCCCCCAAAACCTTAAATGTCTCATAACCTCCTTGACGTACATGTATGCCACTTATTATAACTTAGAATAATGTTTTCTCAAATTTCCCCACGACTTTCTTGCCAAGTTTGCTTGCATTTATGGTAGACCTATGTCTTTAAGTCTCATTCTTGAAGGTTCTTTTTCAAACTTTAATTATAATATTTTGCTTAAAACCCCATCAGGATTGGTGATTTCATTTAAATGATAAGATCTAATCGGGCACAATGTGACCATACACATCTTAAGATATTTGCTAACTTGCTTCCCTCGCTCGCAATTAAATATTCAGACAGTTCACAGATCTGCGAAGAATGATGCTGAAGCAGTAAATAACAAATGTTAAAACTCATCCCTGATAAAATGTAGGGTATCTAACAATGTCTAAAACTAGTTTCAATTTCGTTTTGAGGTAATACAGTTTGTAGGTGCCAATTTTCTGCAGGAAGTGCCCTTTTTCGAAAATGCACCCCCACTTTGAATGACTCTACACCGCCTCTGCAGTGCAACATTGACCCCCGTCACGAATACATATCTCTTTAATGTTAATCCATGCGAGCAAGGCATTGTTCAATTTCTTTGTATCTTCCTCAACGCGATCGCGTTCAACTAGACTTGTTGACGCTGTACGTTAATACTCCTAGGCTGCTGCATGTCGGTCTGTTTGGAACAGGGGAGTCGACTTTTGTCATACTTTCTCAACTCAAGCAAGCTACATCGCATTTGGCGAATGAGGAGATTTTAATACAAGCAAAATCGGACACTCGAGAGTTGGCTGGAACTGTGATTTGAAAGACCCTTGTTACAGTTTCTTCATTCTCACAGTTTACACCAGTTTGAGCCGTTTATAGAACGTTGTACTCGTCGAGCATGGTTTCATTTTGAGCAGAATATTATTACGGACAACATCCTAAACCAGTTGTTTATAGTTCATTCATTACTCAATTGTCATTTCATCGAGACAACTCATCGTGCACCTTAACTAACGGCGTTAAATGACGTAATTGACCTGTACTTAAATGCCTACTGATTGATTACATACAAAGCGTGAGTAGTTCATACTGTTTTATATTTTTTGGGAAGAAAAAAATCTTCATATGTACTCAGGAGTCATAGCATAATAATTTTTGACGTGGAGTAGTAGTAACAGTAAAAGGGACTTTTAGATTTGCACAACGACAACGTGGATTGCTACGATCGACGTCCTTTTAATGCATTGCCTTGAATGGACGTCACACGTATCAGTCCACGCAAATCTAAAAGTCCCTACTAATAGCTACGTGTACAAGGGTACGTTTATGCTCAACTTTTTCTAGCCAGAATGGGGCATTTGTTACGCGTTTAGTTCAAAACATGGTTGCGTCCTTTCTCATTTTTGTAGAAGCACAGAAAAACGGCGATCGTAATCGCCGACTGTAAACTCACAAAAAGGTGCGTTTTGGACGGCGATTCAGGGGAGCATAAACGCACAATCTTTAATTTTGTAAACACGTTTAAATGGGGTCAACGTAGCATCCAGCTGCAGACTCTGCACTGCACTTCTCTGGCTCCTCCAGACATGATTCTGGCTCTGAGGCACAATCATGCCTGGAGGAGCCAGAGAAGTGAGCATAAACAGTACACCGTGGAACTGCGATTACGATGGCCGTCAAATCGCTCATTCTGCCTTCAAAATTGAGCATAAACGTACCCCAAGAGAATCGTGATAGCATACACGCCTTTTTGTCTCCTGGTATGTGAATTCGTGGGGTGAGCGTGCTTGAACGCACTCGATCAAAAGGAAAAATATTAACAACCACCAAAATCTGGTCTATTGATATTAGGCTATGTTAAAACGATTCCTAGTTTCTCGTCCGGATCTTCCGTAAATTAGGAGGCGTTTCCATGTCAGTTGATATTTTGCTAAGATGGTCGCCGAACATTTAGGCATTTTTCAATTTTTCAATTTATTTTCCATCTTTAAAAAAAAAAGGGGAAAAAAAACACAAATATAACATAGTATTGACACATTGTATTAAAATAACAGTATAAACATAAATTTGGAGGGATGTCCTTAATAAGCAGGTTGCTTGTAGGCTGGGCCCCGTTATACAATATAAAATGTATAACTTTGTGAGAGAAAATTATAAAACAGCAAATTAAATATAAATTAGGAAATTGTGATCATCTTAACAGCTACTATAAATAGACAGATACAGGTACACGTCTACACACAGACATACAAACACCCTAGCACACACACACACACACACACACACACACATAACCATATGCCGACAGTTATGGGAAGATCAGATAGATGAGATAGAGTAAAATATCATAGGGAAGGAATACATAGAGAGAAGGAGAAAGAGAAAGAGAGAGAGAGAGAGAGAGAGAGAGAGGGGGGGGGGGGGGGAGTGAGTGTGTATTACAGAAGAAAATAATTAGAATGAGTAGGCATGGTGAAAAGAAAAGAGAAATTGAACATGTTTTTAGGCAGGTCTCTGTTAACTTGTGTTCTTGTGGAAGTGTACATCAAGACCATCACATTTAGCTTTAGGGGTCTGTATTTTAAAATATTTGAGGTAAAAATAGTAAATATGAACAATCAAAGTTCATCAAATTAAATACAAAATCTTGAATAAATAGGATCTATAAAGACTAAAGTATAACTTTTTAATTTATTTATTACCATACAACTAAGTTTGTAGATAGTTTTATAAAAATATAACCAAAAAAGTGAAGGATTAATAATAACAACACCTTTTGTTTTATATGCGTAGCTGCTATGTATAAATCAACTTATTAGTAGTACAAGTTTATCATAAACCATCAAGAAAAGCTTTGTTATTTAATATGTGCTATGCTGTGGATGCGTGTTGGTTTCGGGGAGAGTGTGGGTTTGTACATGTGGGTTTAGGAGGCGGTTGCGTTTTAATGAATTTATAGAAAATCAAAGCATAACATATCAGAACAAAATTTAGAAAAACTCTTCTTCATGTCGATATTTATATATATATATATATATATGTACACGTTTGTCTGTTGTTGTTATTGTTACAATTCAGGTTGTTTGATAATAGTAATTTTATGTTGATTCCATACCCTAACCAAAAATAAAAGGACTTAAAAACGCAGAACTACCCCAAATTCACAATTTCATCTTGAATTTTGAAAAAATTTGTAAGCTAGCAGACCACAAATATGTAATGATTAATGATATTACGAAATAACAAATGTAGTATACCCTCAAAATATGAAAAATCAATCTATTAATTAATACGATTGGTTTGCCAGACTCACAAATAACGAATTTGCATCGTGTTTAGAAAGCCTCTGCAAGACTTGTGTCCAGTTCCTCATAATTTTCCCGTAATTATGAAACTTGCTTTCATTACGTTAAATTATTTGTTTATATGGCATAACATTACATTACGATACTGAATGGTCAACAGGCAAAATATTGTCTGAATTATTATATTTTGATCACATCCATACTCACATACCTTACCAAGTACACACTAAGAAAAAAGGGTGCCAGATTGAACCTTTTAGGGGACATGTTAGTACCCTTTATGGTTCAATCCTGCACCTTTAGGGGTGCAAACCGATGCAACACTAGCAGCACCTTTATGGGTTCAATCCTGCACCCTT